CATGTCAGGACCGCAGTCCTGTTGGAGAGAAGCGTCACCTGCGGCTCTACCCCTCCTAACCCTCAGATTAATTTTGTGTTCTTCAAACCTTACTCAAAGAGGCCACTTCAGCCAGTCTGTCCCAGCCCCATCCATTCACTGTGTGTGGGACCTCCTGGAGCTGCAGCCAGGCTCCGGCTGTGCATGCACACGCTCTACACTTGACCCATCATTTTGGCAATGTCACCGACTTCGGTCCAATTACAGCAGTCATGAATTGGACCCTGTTCACCCCCTGAAACTGCCACAGCTCACAGCTGAGGTTCAGACAGTTACACAATGAAACCATTCACACGTCTCATTAACTCCGGACTATGCATTGAAAATAACTGTGTCATATAAGTCTCTGATTAAATTTTCTCAGTTTATGTCATTTATAGGTACCTTCCTGTTCGTAACAGCAACTCTAACTACGTAAAACTTTTTTTGTGCTCTCAGCATAGGAAAAGTGGTATGTAGAGCGCAGTATAATAATTCTTTAGTGTAGTTAATTGTACTCACCCTAAACAATATAGGCTACGGAAGCATTTTAAATCCAAGCACAAAGATGTAGGAGTGTGGTCAACCATTCCAAGGCACCAGTGGGCCTTTGGTTGTGTATTTTGCACTTTTTGAAGTTTATTTTTATTGTTTTTTAATCTATAATGGCAGTAAAGTCAAGTCCAAGTTTCCAAGTAAGCCAAGCGTAAAGGCACTTGGAATTCAATAAGGCTATCCTGTTGCCTACACATGGGAAGACACGAGGATTCTCTGCTTTTGTGATTTATACGATTGTATTTCTCTGCTGAGTGCCAACAGCAAACCTTGTGTTGTATTTGTCTGTGCTCGTGTATTAAGGTTTTTATAACAGATGCAGCACAGGGGTTTCTGTGTATCACAAAGTGCTTGCAAACTAAAGCACATGTCCAAAGTCTCAAGAGGCACAATGGAGGGATCATTGCAGAGATGACTGTGGGGAGTTAGTTTTGGTTTGTGCTGCAGTAGAGAATCAATGGCAAATTCTAGAGCACAAAACCTTGTCCAAGAAAGGCAGAGACACAGTAAATCCCATGAAATGAAGCAGAGACAGGACAGACCAGGACAAAGAAAAGAATGAGCTGTCAAGTTTGGCATTAATAATAGTGTGCAGCAGAGAGAGAAGTGGACAAGCCTGTGCCAAGGCAACTTTACTAGATGATGCAAAGGAGGATTAGGGATGACCCTGACAGTGTGTGTGAGGAGGATACACAAGTGGGTTATGCACTTAGAGCAATGCTGTAAGCAAAGCTTTGCTGGCAATCATTTTGTGCTTCTGCAGAGGTAACGTCACGAGGACGTCATAAAAAAAAAGAGAGAGAATATCATCAGTAAGATATGAAATGGACATGCTTTGGAGGAATGTCAGGATAGGGAGCTGCTAGGACAGAGGACAACCTGGATTCTTGCAATTGTAGTTTATGGAAGAAGAACACCCAGCATTTGATCACAGGTCAGATGTCTGTTTGGGGAAAGCAATAGTCAGTCCCAGGTCCTGAGCCTGCAGAAATATTGTTGGGAGGAAGTAAAAGTTAAAAGGTTTAGGAAGAAAAATTAAAAACCTCCTGTTCACCTGTGCTGACCTCAAGGCATCAGCAACCCATCCAGAGCAATGCATCAAAGACAGGCTCAAACATACAGTGGAACAGCTGTGGGAGAGTAGATCTGTAAGTCAGAAGGAGAGAAACAACAGGTACAACCCAGAGCAGATGCAGTGGCAACCCCAGCAGGCATCTTGTGTTCTCTCCATCCACATTCTGCACTGTTGCAATGTGGTACATCTTGCTATAACAAAAATAATAATTTAGAGAGGAAATTCCTCCTTGGTCACTCATTCTGTCACCCTGCCCAAACCTAGACTAGTTTTGTATCACGCTGATTGATTTTTCCTAGAAGGAGACTCTTATTGCAGCACATTTTTTATTTGGTATTAATTTCCTGACATTTACTGACATTCACAACCATTCTCACAACTTCTTGAATAAAAAAAGATGTTGAGTAGATGGAGGCATTCTATGGAATTCAGGTATGGATTCAGGTCTAAATCATGAAGTAGTTAAGTAACAGATTTGATATAGTCAGTAAACTTGCACTTTTATACATGAGGCAAAGACCAAAGCCCTTCATAAGGGTATGTTGTACTTTTGCATCTGATTCAAAGCTTTCTCTTTCACTAAGGTACATGGCTGAAGAGGTCACCTGTGTTTGATTTGGAATTATAAAGTTTGTCCATGATTAAGTATGAAAGCAAGTCTACAAATGAAACAGAGAGGGCTTGAAACTTAGGTCTGCTTGTAAAGTGCATGTTGAAAAGCCATTTTGAAAGGCATTTTAAATTCTGCTCATATCTTGTTGCCAAATCATCAGTGGTTTGACTCACATATCAGAGTTTTCCTCAAAAAAAAAAAAAGAAAGCTTCAGATGAACCTATTTACGTAGGAAAAGGTCTTTCAAAACAACTGCACAGAGGCCAGGATCAACATCTGAACACGGGCTGAGTTGTTACATTTTTAGAATTATTCCTTTCATTAAAGGCATGAGGGATATCTCAGGTATCTTGGGGCCTGATTCAGAGCTGTAACATCCTAAACCAGTAATTGCTCTGCTGGGTGAAATCCTGCCTTTATATTTGCAAGGCTTCTTTCCAACTCCATGAAGGCAAGCCCACCTTGCCTATGATGCTGATGGCTGTAGTAGCAGCACTGCTGGATGTTATGGTCCAGATCTTCTGCAAGAACAAGACCCCCAGCCAGGGGACCAGCAAACTTCTTTCCATCTGGCTGCTGCTCTGGCAGTGAGCAGGGTCATAAAACTAAAGGTGGTTGCTCAAGCAACTGGACTGAATGTCTGAGAGACACCCTGGAATAAGAGCCTTTTATGTGACAACTGTTGTTGAGCTCTTTCCTGCAGTTAGGTAGCAATGGAACATCAAGGTAGGGGAAAGCACAAACTTTTGTGACCAAAGAAATCACGACCTGAGGCAGGGAGACTGCAAAGTGGGGTGGTAGCAGCCTAGTGTCTACAGAGAAAACCCTGGAGAAAGAGCAGTAGAATTGTGCTGTGAGGTGTCAGAACTAAGAACATTTTCTTTACTGTTTTAAAAAGGACTTTTAACGAAAAAAAGATTGGATCAGAACACACAGCAGTCTGAAATAAAACATTTTGACTTCATTCTCTCTCCAGTCACTCATCTACTTTCTGCATTCCTTCCTACGCAGGGGCTCGGTGTTATCACTGCAAGAGCAGAGATGTTGCTGACTTGGAAGCAATGGGGAATTACGTGCAATAGGGAATTACTTCTGTAAATAGATACTTCTGAGGTGCATGCTTCAGAAAGTGCACCCGGGGAGCCAAGTGTTTTCTCTCTGTGATTTGGGGCAGAGCTCACTCACACTCTTAATTTCTGCAGTTATCAGTGGCACCTCTGTGACGCTTGAGAAGATTTAAGTAGCCCTGTCACAATGTCGCCTCTACTCCCCAGGAGTGCTGATAACCTTTCCCTTGCAAAAGGCTTTATCTGGACCTCACAGTGCACAGGCAATTGGTTACAGCATGTACCCCTCCCACTGGAGAGAACCCTTCAGGGTGTTTAGTTCCCCTGTTGTGAGTACCCTCCCCAGCATGCCAGCCTGGCAGGGCAGAAGGAGGGAGGGACACCCAAACCTTTAAAACATTTCGTGTCAATTTGCAAGAAAGTAACAAGGACGATTGTTATGAAATCTTTGCCAGCTGGGAAAGATCTTCACCAAGAATGCTAGTAAATCTCTAGCCTTGTGGAAAAAAACTTTCTTTATGTGAAACTGTTGTAAACTGAATCCATAATCTGATCACTTGCCCAATGAGAGGGTGTTGAGCCCTGTTTTTGATCCTGGACACAACAGTATAAACAAAACACAATTTGATCAAAGTCATTAGAGCAGCAGAGGAGAATGCACAGCATGACCATGAGGAACATCTGGCTTGATGCAGTAACAAAATCTGGACCAAATGGATTTCAAGCATCTCCCATTTGCAGCTATTTTAGTCTAGGAGAAGACAGCCAATATGTATATTCCTGAAATGTCTGAAATAAGTAAGGCCACAATGCCTTGTACTGAGCACAGTTCTGCATACATAGACTTTGGAGTACTCAAGCCCAGAACAGCCTACAGTAAAGCATCTAGTGGGATCCAGGATTTGGCCATTCCCTCTCAGGAACAGCTGATTTCAGCCAAATTAACTGTGTTAACAAGAAAAACTTCTTGCTGACAGGTGTTCAACAGTGAGATTATTTAAAATGCCAACTAAGATACTTTTTTTCGTGTGTCACTAGACTGCACGGCCAAACGTCACAAGAATGCCTTAAAATTCATGCAAAAAAACGAGTAACATTTTTGGCAGGGCAGGGTATTGCAGCACCGTAAGAGAGAAATTTTGGAGGAATCGAGACAAACACACAGCTGGGAGCTGAAAAGGCTTCGCCAGCCACTCACTGTGCCCATCCCAGATGATTTATTTGCGGAATTCCCAAAGGCGGGAGGCTGCCGGGGCAAGAGTGGCGAGGGGGGTGGAGAACCCAGCGGAAAACGGCTCCAAGCAACAGCCTCGCAGGGAAACAAAACCAAGCATCCTTCGAACGAGGACGCCAGGAGGGAGGCAGGGGGACGTGTGGGGCACGGCAGGGAGAAGAGGGAGGAAAGGCTACTGCTGCCATTGACATCACCCACCCCAGGGAGATTTCCATTTCCCGATGTCATTTACCAATCCCTGCAGCCGCCGGGGAGAGGGGCAGAGCGGGGATGCTCCGAGCGGCCCCGGCAGCCGGTCGCGCCCCCTCCGCGCCCCCAGCTCGCTGCGGGGGGGCCGGGCCGGCGGCGCGGGCGGGGCGGGCCGGCGGCGCGGGGCCCTTTAAGAGGTGCCGGCGGCGCGGGAGGGCGGCACAGGGCTGGGCGTGCAGGGAGCCACGGGCCCGGTACGGGCAGAGCCACCGCCGAACCCCGCGCACCGGCCCCGGAGCCCGCTGAGCCCAGAGCCGCTGCACCGCGCCCGCCTCCCGCTGACGGACCCCCGAGTCCCGCTACACCGAAATCCATCGCGCGGACCGCACCACACAGAGATCCACTGCACGGATCCGCGGACCCCACCGGGCGGACTCCACCGCGCGGACCCCCGCATCCCACTACGCCGACATCCACTGCACGGACCCTACTACACAGAGATCCCCGAACCCCGCCAGACGGACGGACTCCACCGCGCGGACCCTCCAGCAGCCCCGCCTGCGAACCGCATCGCCCCAAGCCCGGGCGCACGGTGCCCGGAGCCGCCGGTGCGGCGGGCATGGCCCCCGGGGGGAGCCGGCCCTGGGGGTCGCTGCTGCCGCTGCTGCTGCTGCTGCTGCCGGCGGCGGGCGGCGGGTGCGCGGCGGAGGGCGGCCCGCTGGAGCCCTTCGATGCGCTGTACGCCAGCGGGGTGGAGGCGTACTACGGTGGGGACTTCGCGGGCGCGGCGCGGTGCCTGGAGCGGGCGCTGCGCAGCCGGCGGGAGCTGCGGGCGGCGCGGCTGCGGTGCCGGCGGTCGTGCCGCGGGCAGGTGCGGCTGGAGGCGCTGGGCCCGGGGGCCGGCGGGGACCTGCCCTTCTTCGGCTCGGTGCTGCGGCGGGCAGACTGCGTGCGGCGCTGCGAGGAGCCGCGGCTCGGGGCCGCCTCCCGACACCGCGCCGCCGAGGAGGTGCGCGCCGACTTCCAGCGCAGGGTGCCCTACAGCTACCTGCAGCGCGCCTACATCCAGGTAAGGCACCGCCCCGCCCCGTCCCTCCTCACCGCCCTCTCCAAACGGTTACCCGCTCTTCCATGCTCCCAAACGTCCCACGTGTGCACCCTTTTGCATCTCTCTCAAGCCACCCAGGTATGGTCCCCCCGCAGCGTTCTCACTGGTGTGAGCGGTCAGTGGTCACGGCCAGTTCCCGAGACACAGCATCCTGGATGACAACATGGACTCTGTCCAGCTTTGGCTTTCTTGTACTTTTCCTGTTTTGTGTTTGTTTGTTTGTTTTGGGCTGGTTTGTTTGTTTTTGGGAAGGATGTTTTTGTTTGTCTTTTAGTATAACATAGTGTAATTCTGAAAATGATCCGCCTTCAGTTTGCAGAGAAGAGCCCCCAGAAACCCCTTAGTAACCCTCCAATGCCCTCTGCCCCAGAGGTGCTTCCCTTTCAGGCATATTGAACTGATGCTGTGTTTGAGGAGCTGGGACTGTACGTGAGGCTGGGACGTATATAATCTCCTGGAATCTGATGTTCGTTATCCTTGATGTGATATGAAATACTTTGTGTAACACTATGCAGTCGGTAGTTAGCAGCCACTGACAGGATATCCTGAGTATCATCCTCTTATCCCATTAACTTCTGCCTTACAGCTGCTACCTTCCCTGAGAAAAATGATGTTATTCTTTAAACTTCTTTACCAAAAAGAAGGAAAAAAAAATAAAATCCCAGCAAACCCCCACCAACCCACATTAGGATAGTTAATGGTATTTTTATTATTCATTCAAGATTTGTGCTCTGTCAAGCCAGCTACCTATACTAAGTCTTCCTGTTTATGACTAGTAAGGACAGAAGCTGTGGGAATTTTGTTCATGCCAAGCTGAATGTTTAAAGAATTTCTGGAACATTTCCCTCTGGACTTCTGCTTTATTTGAGTACATTCGTAGCCCTTTAGTTACTATAGGCAATCTAATACATGAAGACCTGCACAGTGGAGCACAGGAGGGGTGATTCTGCTGAAATGCATTTCCATTTGGAGAGGCAAACATCTGTCCTAGGCAGTGCAAGTGCTTGTGGTGCAGTGCCTACACAGCAACACATCAAGGAGACAAATCATCAGCTATTGCATTTTGAAGCCTTTTGGAAATTCATAGCTGCATTGCTTTTTCTGTATTTCCTTTTCTGACATTGCCTTAATGTCAGTTTTACAGCTCAAAGACTAGAACTGCATTGGCTTAAACTCTAGTGTCCACGTGCTGCATAGAGTTCCTGGGAGTGAACTGGAACTGTATCTTGGCTTATGTGCAATGCCAGCGAAGCTGACAGAATTCTCCTGCAGTCCTTACCATGAAAGATGCTCTATATAATGTCAGCATCTGTGGGAAGTGACACTAAATTTGTCATGCTAAAAAATTAAGTGATTTCTTATCTTGATTTCAAAACCTTTTCCAGACTCATTGATGTCAAACTCATTGAAAAGCTTTCCTCTGAATTAGGGAATAGGTTTTTGTCTCCCACTTCAGTAAAATTGATTTACAAAACCCCAGAGGATTTTGGGGTGTGGGGTGTTCTTGAATTAGAGTTTATGCATTTATGCTCTTATGCTTAGAGTATTTTCCTCAATAACTGAGGTTATTTTCCTCATTTAAGATTGCATTCTAAGCTTATCAAAGCAATGTGTTGTAAGCAGCCCTTTAAACATTTATTTTATGTGTGACTCATCTTAATTTGCTTTTGCAACATCTGGAGACTTTGTGTGTATGCTAACACTGATTTTACTGCTCTCTGATGGAGTAATGGATGTTCTTGTTCTCTGCATGGCTGTCCAGGTGTCAGGCACTGTAGCCAAGGGAAGGTACTTTTTGACTAGACCTGTTCGTGTTTTCAGTACCTTTTTCTTTAACCCTTTCTGATGCTCTTGGAATTTCTAAGCAGCACTCCAATCACCTCTGTCCCGCAGGGCAACCCCCAGTGATTTGTCCATATCCTCACCTTGCTGCTGCCTGTACCTGAGCTCTGCTCCCAGGATTGTGCTTTTGCTCTGGCTCAGCAAGTCTGTGCACAGAAGAAAATGCCCCACATCGGATTTGCCTGCACTTGCACAAAACACGAGGTCTAATGTCTAGCCCTTGCATACAGGCGGATGTGAACCATACCCTCGTGCCAAGGCTGAGTGCCAAGGCTTTGGCATGTTCCCTGGGGGTTGGGATGCACCAGCTCCGCACCCTCTGGGTAGACCTTGGCTGCAGCATCTGCTTGGCATTTTGTCTGAGAAGGGGAGCCGCAAAGCAGGGCTTGTGCAGAATCCCCCACGCCTTGCTGTGGGTGTGTTGGCAGGCTGCGCAGCTCCATAGGTGGCCATTTGACCCTCATGTTTTGCTCCTTGAAACCAAAAAGAAAATGGGATGAGGTTAAACACTCTGCTTCGTGCCCTGTCCAGCTCCTCCCTGGGCTTCGTGGGGAGGCCGGGATGCCAGGCACTTGCGCAAGGTGCTGGACGGATGGCAGGGTTTGGTGCCATTTGTGGTTTGAGAGAAGAGGAGCAGCCTGGAATGTGCTTCCCACCTCCCACTCCCGCAGACCTCATGCTTGTTTGTTTCTCAGGAGGGGAGAAACACATCCCTTCAGGAGGGAGTGACAGAGCAAGGAAAAGATGAAAAAAATTGAAGGGTTTGGCTCTTTTGCAGTGCTTTGAAAAACTGTGCTGAATATACATGAACTAATCCTTGCAACACTCCTGTGGGGTAGGAAAAGCAAAGGCTTTGAGTCCTGCTGGAAAGATGCACAGGCCAAACAATGGCCAGCAGTGCGTGTGCCTCAGCTGTTTTGGGAGCAGGCTTGGGGGTCCCGCTGCCTCTGGTCTCTCACTGCAGAGCAAGCACCAGTACAGTCTTGCCCAGTTGTGATGATGTGAATGAGACTCTGCAGTGAATTGGTGGAAAACTGGTGCTAGAATTGGAAGTTTTTTACTTTTTTTGCCGCTTTTTTGGGACTTTTTTTACTGGACTGTGGCAGCAGCTGGGCTGGGCTGTATTGCTTCTGCTGCTGAGCAGATGCTCAAGATACTCCTGCACAGAGCACTGTAAAGGGGCAGGGAGGTGATGATGTATTTAGGTGAAATACCCGTGGTATCCCTCTGTAAGAACATGTTCTGTCAACCTCTAAATCCATGTCATCCTATCAGTTCCCTAAATTTATCTTTTTCTCTGTACTTTTCTGAAATAGAAACAGTGGTCTTCTGAAGACCACTTTTCGTTTTCACAGATGTGATCTATGTGTTTTTGGTGACTCTAGCATGATGTGAGGGGAGACTGGTGGACTGCAGGAATGGGACAGTTTGAGGATTCAGCTGGAGGTTTCTATCAGCTTCAGGCTTAGGATCAGACCTATGAGGTTGACTGTAGACAAATTGCATTGAACAGGGAGTCCAAGTCCAAATGTGCTTGCAGATCTTCTTTGCAGCTTCTGAATGTGCATTGTAAGTGACTCCTTTTCCTAGAATAGCTGATGCTTTCAGGTAATTAAGAAATTTACTGGATACAGGTAGCTGAGGCAGTTAGAGTGGAATGGGTTTGAGAAGGTGTGGAAACAGAGAAGGGGATGAGAACATGGGATTTAACTCTTGTAAAGCATGTAGTGGGCTCTTGATCCCACAGAGAAAAGTTCCTTCAGTGGGTTTCTGCTGTCATATCTGACAGGCAGGACAATTTGCCATATGCTGGTGGCTCTCTGCTGTGTGCTGGCTGCTTGGTCTTTGTGAGTGAAAAACCCTCTAGGCTTGGCAGGTGGGTGTGGGGGATCTCTTTGCCCTCATAAGCATTTTTATTAATCATGTCCTTCTTGCTTTGCTGCTTTAGTCATCTTGTTTCTGTTAAAACCTAGCCTGAAGGCCATGGTGTTCCTAACCTTCCTTTTTGGAGTTTTTCTGGCTCTGAGAGTGAATGGAGGGAGGAAGAAATGTACGCAGTGTACACTATGACAGCATTTGCTGCTGTGAGCTGCTGACTCAGTAGCTGTGTTGGAGCTTGCCGTGGATGGTCTGCCATGAACCCTGTGACAGAGCATTACTTCCAGTCCCTGGTCTAACTCCTGCAAGTCAGCTTGGTCCAAAAATAACAAGCAACTTGGAAAAGTTGATCACCGTATCAACTGCAAACGCGTGTCTTGTGTCTCTTCTACCCTACTAACCCTTCCCTCGAGGTCTCTTTCCTTTGTCTCATCCTGTTCCCAGCCACAGAATTCCCTGGCCTCTTTGCTGAGTTGATTGCTATAGTCCATTGTAATTTTATTCTTTGTACATTGATGTGCTGTTACTGAGCACTTCCTCCCATTTTGTAAATACTGACTTGGAATGGTCTTGTCTTCCCACTTGCCTGCAAGCCCCGTTGCACATCAGTGAAGCATGGCAGGAATCGCATGTATGTAGGCTGTAACCACCAGCCTTGGATCTAGATGAGAAAAAGCCTTTTAGTCTGTGCTTGGGTTTAAAACAATAAATAAAACAAGTCCCCAGCATGTCAGACATTGCTCCTCTCTTAGTAATGTCGGATTGTAGGTGGAGCAAAAGGGGCAAGAGTCTGACTATATCTGGCTTATTCAGTCTTTGGCTTGAATTCCTCCCCTTGTCGTATCTGAGATGTTCTTCAGTTCTGTTATCATCATGATTTCATGTGTTGCAAGCATAAAACAATGATGTTTAGGTTTGCCATGTTGTACGAGAGGCAGTTTATTTGTTCTTTAAAGCTGTTTCTTTTCTAAAAAAAGGTCTTGTTTGGGGAGAACTTCCACTTTTATCTTCTCTGCCGGGTCTTTCACACTGCAGCTGATGGGGCACTGCTGGGAGCATATCCTTGGGTCACACTGTGCTGTCCTGCCACCCACACCGCCAAGATTTCTGAAATGCAACACAGACACAATAATGGCTTGATAAAATACCACAGGAGAGAAACAAAAGAAACAGAGTGGGAGCCCAAACTTCAGAAACCCCTGTGGGGTTGCCTGACTCCAGTTCTGTCTTTGAAAACTCCC